ACTGGCGCTTTTTTCCGACAAAGCTCTGTGCGAAAAAAAAGCAGCAGCCATTTTTATGCTAATGAAGCGGGGGAGATTTAAATCCCCGCTTCATTAGCAAATGCAATACGTCTAATTTACATCCATTTTACAAAAAAGGGATGTAGTCTAGACGTAGCCAATGTGTTTGCAGAAGCGAGATCAAAGAACGCTGTGTGGGCAGCCTGAACTCTGTGGAATTCCCTAGCTCTTGAGTTCTGAAGACCTCATATTTTGTTTGTTTTGGACAACTAGTGTGTGTGATCTGTGGAAGAGGTGAGATTTAAGAAGATGAAATACTTTATAACTATAGCATTCTTTTTATTATTCACTTTCCCTTGCCAGGGGCAAAAGGAGTAGGCAGTCAGCCATATAACTATTTATTGTAGTAAAAGATATAGTTGAACTGTAATGTTTAATTGCAAAACAGTGGCTACTGTAGCTACATATAACTATTACATATAGTACTAGTATATGATCCTTAAAACATGTATTCTTTCCTTCACACATGTTGGTTCCTACATTTCCTCCCTCCTCTGCTGGCTTCCTATCATCTGCTCTTCTCTATGCCTTTTTTCCTCACTTCATTGTTCCTCCTCTTCTTTGCCATATTGGAGCATTGCTTGCTGTTTTCACACCACTAGGTTAGGTTCCTCTGACCAGCACACTCTGCTCTGTTCTATGAGATCTGGGTGTAGCATGTCGTAAAAGAGTGAGAAAATAAAGGCAGATTATGTTGGCACTGGAGATGCTAGGTACAAATTCTGCTCAAGATAGTGTGCTGTAAAAGTGGAGCCAGTGAAGCTATCCCATTCTGCCAAAGTGCCACACTAGCTTGTTCGGAACTAACGTCGGTACGTCTCCTGAAGATGGAATTTACATCTTCCAGCACCTATGCAGACGAACCTCTGAGGACTGTCAGGTATTTGAGAGGTAGCAGCTCCCTTCAGTGTAATCTAAGACAATTGAGACATGCCATAGGCAACAGGATGAGAAGGGAATAACTGTGCATTGATTGTGGGCCCTATTTCCATACAGCGTGCCAAGATTCCTTTTGAAGTAATCTTGAAGTAAAGTGTTGCTGCAGTAGTAGCAATGCATATTAGAGCCATTTTTGTTGGAGAAAATCAAAAGGGGGGAAGGGGAACTACCTTGAATGTCTCACCAGAAGACACTGAAATGTGCCTGATTTAAAACTACAGAGGATACAACAGGCTGAATAAAATCAGAGGGCCAATGACATAGCACAGCAAACATCATAAGCTGAGGGAGAATCATGACCGCTAATTGATCACGGCATAAGCTAACCATCCATTTACCCTCTTAGACACTACTGGCACTTGATAAGAATTATGATTACTCTTCGGTATTTTTCAAGAAGCTTGTGGACATATTGGTAAGCACCTTGTACTCCAGCGAAGGGATTTTCCTGTAATGGGTTCCTGAAGTCTTGTTTGTCATGTTCAAAGGAAGGTCATTGTGAAAGTTATATTCTCATATTTAAAAAGAATAATGTGCATTGCAGAGTATAATAATCATATTTAATTAGCATGGGAGGTTCTCTGAATCCATCAGCCATCTGTCTGTTTGCTTCTCCAATGTAAAAAGCTGAAGTGAGGTGCCAGATGTGACATAAGATGTACTTGGATGACACAGAAAGGACCCCCAAAGCCATAAGTAGGAAGAAGTAGCAGAAGTTTATGGGGAGATGACAGGTCTGGTTATATTCCACATTACTGTGGTGACAAATGGTACTAAATGTTTCTAGCAATGCTTCTAGTTTCACAAGGCCTTTTTGAGAACTTGCTTTTTCTCAGAAGGGGCTATGCTTGATGTAACGTTTATAAAGCACCATACATCACTCTTAGCCATTCATCATCATAGTTTGCCAGCCAATCATTGTTATCGGCATATTTCACTCCATGTGAATTAGACCATTAGAAGTGACTTGCAAACTTAAAAGGGGGAGGGAAAGTGCCTTTTTTGCTTTTCATGAGGATGTAAAAATTATTTACATTGGAAATATCACCAATGTCATTTTTTTCCCTTTCCTACTGGTCACTTTGAAAGATCAGGGAATTAGAATGGTAGCATTCCAATTTCTTCCTTTAAGGTGTATGGTTTTTTTGAATGATCTTAGATAGATATTTCCCCCCAAGTGGTGTTGGGAACTTTTGGTTTTTAACACCTCAATCATACAAAGTTGTGAACAGTCAATTTTTTTAAAAATTCCATTCCATCCTCAATTGCTTAGGTGCTACAATCCTACCAGTTTGCCAATATAGTGGGGTTGATGAGAGCTGAATTTGTAATGTAAAAGCCAAAAATGAAGGTAACAAAATATATTTTCAATCGTTGTCCCCTTTTTTTGCTTCTTTATGATAAAAATCCAATTATTTTGCTTCTTGAGGTCACTTTAAAAAAGATTAAAAATCCACTTTTGCAAGTAAATAAAGAATTAACCATGAAAGAAAATGAAACTCTTTATGGTTCTCTGGCAATGCAAATTAAATCTATCTAGATAACCTTGTATGCCTTTTATCCTCATTATAAAACTCTCCTAAGAAGCTAACTATTCTGGAACATCTTAAAAAGGAGTGTTCTAGTCATGACATTTCTTACCATGAATTATAATCATGCTGCAATTCATTGTGTTAATCTGCCAAAAAGGATTGCAAATAGAATTTTTTTATATCCCTGCTTTCAGTGTTACCTGAGTGTAGCCCTCAAGAGTTAAGGAAGTTAGGAACCCAGAGTCTCCATAGACTTTTAATAGAAGTGTGTGTTGCAATAAAGTACCTCCAAATCAAAGTGGAGTGAACCATTAATTTTCTGAGTGTTCCGTTCCCTATAACCTTGTTTGTTCTTTTGTCTGTGTTCAGCAGATGGCTAGATGACTGGCATCCTTTAACAACATTCAGTGCTCATTATCACCATGTCATTTCAAGCGCTGTTTCCATCTTTCCTGCTCTTTTTTCCCTCCTCCATTAATCAACCTATACTTTCATGTGTTTAGCAAGCCATTGACAGAGTTGTGGATTTTAATGCTTGACTTTATTTTTTCCTCCATAAATCCTACTCGCTATTGTGGGGAAAAGGCGGGCAATTTGATGTACAAGGTGATTGATGAATTATTCAGCTCAGCAACTGCTGTAGAAAACTTTTAGAAGCGGGACTTGTTGTTCAGACCAGGACAAACATTTTAAAAACTGAAATCTTCAGGGTAGTCTTTTCTTGCAATGTTTAAAGAAGTGCTGATTAAAATGTAAACAGTGCGTCATAATGTTAAACAGATGCTGAACAAAAGCTATGTTAATTCAAATTGCTTATTTGTGGATGCTTGTGAAACCTAGGGTACGTCTAGACTACAGGCTTCTGTCGACAAAGCGCGTCCAGACTACATTGAGTTCTGTCGACAAAGCAAGCTGCTTTTGTCGACATGGTAGTCTGGACGCAAAGGACAGTTTCCATTCAATAACACCTTCTGTCGACAGAAACTCTGTCGACAGAAGGTGTTATTCCTCGTAAAATGAGGTTTACATATGTCGACAAAACTGCTGAGTTCTGTCGACGTTATGTCGACAGAACTCAGCGGTAGTGTGGACGCAAGTATAGTTTTGTCGACAAAACTCTGTAGTCTAGACACACCCCAAGTGTCAAAACTGTAGTTAAAAGGCAGTATTTGGTACTAAACAGGGCATTCTAATATTAGGGGCTGGGGGGTTTATTTCAATCTCCATATTCGCAAACCTGATAAGTGGTATGTTTACAAGTTCCATCGTTGGCACAATATCCCTTTCAAGATACAATTGCCTCACAAATTTCAGGAGTCACCTTTAGAGTAGATTGATGGATATTTCAGTGTGTGAGCAATACAAGAAATAATTCTTGGGTGAACTAAAAGCAATTTTTTAAAATTTCTGATGAATGGTCTCATTCAGTCCAAAGCACAGCATTTAATATCTGTTTTAAGCATTTTTAATGTTTTAATTACAAAAAGAAAATTTGATATGAACAGTTTTGAATAAAACACTATTTTTGGAGGGGGAGAAGGGATATTTTTAGGGAGTCTTTTGACCAAAAAAAAAATTGGCAAAATTGATTCAACTTTGCAAAGAGCTTTGATATTCTCCAAATTATTTTTTTCACTGAAAGTATTGGTTGAAAAAATACATACAGTGTTACTTATCACTCACAGTGATAATTAATCATCAGTTTGATAATTGTATATAAAGGAGCTGATACATTGGCATGAGAGAGTTGAGTAAGTTGGAAGAAGCCCTGCTGAAGTCACTAGAGTCACATAACTAGTGAAACACCATTAACTACAGTGAAGGCATCTCTGGCTGACATTAATGTGAATGAAATCAAAATCAAGCCCCATATGTATTCATATCTATTCACAGTAGTGCTTTAATAGGAAAACATTTCAGGTGTTTGTCAAACACTCTTGGCATTGTCCTAACTCTCTTCCCACTGACTCCAATGGGAACACAGTTAAACCAGTATTTAGTGTTGTAGGAAAACTCAACTCGCAGCATGGATCTTTGACAGGCAGGTAGAACAAGTGAGCCATGAAATGCCGGGCAATGCAAAGTCAGTAGAACTTCCAAACACATTGGGCATGAAGGTTGTTCATAAGTCTGAAATGCTCTGTAACTCTGAATAAAACATTGTTTTTCTTTCAAAAATTACCAGCTGAACATTGACTTCATACAGCTTTGAAACACTACTATGCAGAATAAAAAAGCTACCATCTCTTTTTTTTTTTTTAAGAGAGAGGTAGCTGTGTTAGTCTGTAACTGTACAAATGAGGAAGTCCCATGGCATCTTGGAGACAAATTTATTATATTATGACTTAACAAATATGTTAGTCTCTAATGTGGCAAGTCTGCTCATTGTTTTCTATTTTTTTAGTTTTATTTAACACAGTCCTGTATTTGCGTTTTTCCTTGCTTCTGTTAGATTCCATATTTCCAATTTGAAACAAGGTGCGTGGTTGACTGGTCAATTCATAACTCTGATGTTCGTAATTCTGAGGTTCTACTGTAGTTGGTGTCTCTATGAACTTTATCCAATGTGCTGTGAACTAAAGTAAGAAGAACAGATTTCCCCACATGTGCGTATACACCCCATCACGTTTCCCATGTGAGTATATTTTAAATAGCTTCTGCTGTTAATTCTCTTAAAATCTGTGCTTTCTTAAATTATTGGCAAAAGATCGCTCCCTCTGAACCTTATTTCATTTGCATTTTCCACATTATCGTGTAAGTAGGAAAAGTGTGACTGCAAATCTTTTATTAATCATGGGAAATTCTACACCTGTGTGAAACATGATTCATGCTTGCTTCTTGACTAGCAGTTACAGCATTCTAGATGTGAATTTTCATAAACTGAGCATGCCACCAGAGTGGTGTGAAAGATGTAATCACCAGTACAAGTCAATAACCTCTAATGAGAACAGTGTGTATGGAGATTCTAGGCACAAACTTCATATTATTTAGTGCAGTAAATTTTAAAAGAACGTGTTTATTCTTAAATAGAGAGAAACTTATAATTCCCTCTGAATGGCAATGCTTAAAAAAACCCGTGCTACAATGTGATTCCTTGAATTACAGGAATGTTTAGTAGAAACTTCTTGTAAAGGAACACTCTAGAAACAAACAAATTACATAGAAGTAAAATGTAGTCCATTATATTTAGTAACTAAAAGAAATAGCAACTTTTCAAGAATTCAGAGAGATCATTCAAATAGTATGGGATGTTGACTCTATTACTGAAAAAATTTAATTTAGTGGAACCAATAATTAATGAAGGCAAGTATTGAATAATAGGAGGAAAATTTGTATTTGACAATCACTGTATTAGTTGTGGCTAATACAGACTGCATTTAGCACAATGAAATTAAATGAAACTAATAAATATTATAAAAATCAATACAATTACATATATAAATCAATGCAAATAAATATTGGATTGAGCCTAGCTAAACCCTTCTTCCCGAGGCATATTTCAGAACAGCCTTTCCATTTAAATAGAAACACTTCATTTTGTGATCAAACTTGTCACGGACTGTCATGTAACAGACCTGGGTCCAATTTATGGATTTATCATAACTGATAATTAATCTAATTTGTTTCCTCTGAACCCACAATATGTAGAGCCCCTGTGCAGATATAAAATGTATATAAGCATCTGATCCATGATCCATAAATACAGTATGTTCTGTAGTTATATGTGGGGTGAGATATACGTGTGTCTATAAAGCAGATATCCACAGATTTATAAGGCTCTATCCATAGGTCCAAACCAGTACATTGATCTACTGCTGGGCACCTTTGCTGAAGAAAAACATTTGTTTGGAATAGTCTAGGCTGATAAGTTATGTAAATGCTTGCGAAATGTCCTTGTAACCCATTGGTCAGTGTGTGGTGTGTCTGACACATGAGATGTGAATTTGTTAAAGGTAGCTTTAGCTTGGTAAATGAGACATTAAGCTCTTGAAGTTCAGTTCCCACTGTTAGATAGGAAGGTGGCTGTCCTAACTGCTTGCAATAAACTGTGGCCTTGGACCTGCAGTGAGCTCCGTGTGGCTGGACCATGTACTCATGCAAAGCTCTTCTCAAGTTCATTAGTGTATGTCTTATGGCGGGATTGGAGCCCTGGTGCTCCCACATACTTGGAACAACAACAGCAAGTCACTCAGGATACAAATGGCAGCACTGGAGTGGTAGAGAGAGGACCAGGTGGCAATTATTTCAGAAGTAGGTGGGTGAAGCAGTGTTTTGATAACCATTTTAAATATGGTTATGAGCCAATATGTGGATAGGGATTTCAGATCAACGTCAACATCCATACTCACATCTTTTGAAATGAGGTAAACTTGAGTGTGTCTTTTGTCCAGGTACCCATCTATTGGGAGAAGGCTTA